TGCCGGGCCAGCCGCAGCTGCGCCGGTTCGGAGCCGAACCTGGGTTCAGAGCGAGAGACGGGGGGAAAAAAGGGAGAATACAAAGGCTGTAGGTCACCTACATTTTGCCCGTGGTCAGCTACACCGTCAATTGGATTGTGCAGGAGGTGATAAAACACCTTGGCTCCCGGAGATCAGTAAGATCTACACCCCTCTATCCCACAGTAGGGTAAACATTGCTGCCCTTTCTGTGGAGAAATTCCTCTATGTGGTAAGTCAGCCAGGAAACCAATGCTTTTATAAGCTTTCATCATCATATGCAATAAGATACTTCACACATATATACATATATATGTTATAGGAGATCCATTCCCCAGCAAAGCGGTACTACTGCTTCAATGGAAAGGGTTATCTGCTAGGAAGTACACAGGAACACACAGACGTGCGCTGCTTCAGCAGGGAAACTAGACACATTAATCACTGGTAAAAAACCACGTAAATATAAAATACACCATAAATAGCTATAAATAGCTCTTGAGCAATATCCCAAATTATCAGTCATAACACTCAGAGATGATGAATCCCACACCAAATTACTCCACATCAGTCCTGGCATTTTTCTGTAAACTGTTACATATTTGTGAAGGATGCTTTATCATATAATAATTGTGCTGAAATTATGCTTGGCAAGGGATTACAGCAGCTGCAGAATCTCATTGTTGGACAGAGCACGAGATCCAAGTCTTCTGAAAGATGCTTTAATATGCCAAGACCAATACTAGTGGGGTAAAGCTTTGAACAGACAGGCCACAAAGGCCAAATCTTGCTGAGCAAGTTAGTCTGGTAATAGCCCACTAGTGCTGTCATAGCTGGTAATGGCAATGTGAAGGGTAGAAATCACAGCCAAAACAAGTTAGGACGTGGCAGCCAGAGATAGAGACAGGAGTCCAAGGGCTGGCAGTGATATCTAAAGAGACAGCAGGGAGATATACACACTACATTTGGTTTCGGGACATGGACTCTACATTCTAGCCTGATAATCAAGTGAACCAGAAACACAACAAGTCTGTACCTTGAAATCTGGTAAGGAAACAATTTTCAAGTAATCCAGTAAAACCTTGCCTGTGATGTCTACTGCAGAGACAAGATACCTTTCTTCACAATGTTTCTGATGGAAACTCTAAACTACAATGGTACCATATTGTGAGAAATAACAAAGTCAAAAAATTCCTGGTCAATAAATGGCAACTGTTCACTGACAGTAACTTACCATGAGTTACATACAGATTAACATGATACCTCTCAGTTTAACAAATATAACTAGATGTAGCTGGGATTTTTTTCCTTTTAAATTAGGAAGTGCCAATTCTTTGGATAGAACCAACTTTGATAGAAGTTAATTGAGATACTGGAACTTTATAATCAAAATAAGTTTTTAGGACATCGGCTAGCACATAGCACCAACACAACACCCCAACAACCAATTATAATCCCTGCTTTGCTATTCTCCTCCCTCTGTGAAAATCCTTCACAGTGGTCTGCAAGCTCGCAGATCACCACAGAACAGCAAACCTGGCCAGTCTCTAGGCTACAGAGAACTCATGCTCATATCCTTGAACTAAACTGAAAGCACAGGCACTAGAACCTGTGCTCTAAGTTCCAGACATATGCCCTTAAGTTTTGCAGTTGTTTCCTCAGAAAGGAAAGAAGGTAGTTTAACAAAGAAACCATTTTCCATGTAACTGTAATTTCCACATTTTTTTCTGATGTGTTTGAAACTGGCACCTGAGTAACTAGGGGGATGTTTACGTGAAAGGTTTATCATAAAAAAGGAAACCTTTCAATTTCAGATTAATCAGAGACAGTATTTACTATGAAAATCACAACAGTGAAAGATAGACAGTAACAGCGTGCACTCCCTAACTTTTGGAAAGGAAAACCTGTCAAAACACTTTCTTAAAATACACACATAAAAAGAGACAGAGACAAATTATAGAAAAAAGTACCCATTTATTCAAGGTATGACAAGGATATTTACAGTATTCATTTGCTCAGAATAAGATCCATCCTTATGATTTTTAAAGCAGCAATTATAAATTACATTTAGAAGGGGAAATGTTCCAAGCATGTTTCTGTTAAAGATATTTTTACAACAGAAACACTTTAAGGCTAAGTTGTTTTGACCTTTGCTGCCACCCACATTTATCTTGGCAGAACTGTCTCAAAGACAATGTTACTTTGAGGGATAAAGACTATGCTAAATTCAACATACAGTTTTGTTCCCTCAGACGCTTTTCACAACAGTTCACATCTGACAAAAGTTGACTTTTGATTTAAAACAATTAATTAAGTAGAAGTGAGATGAACTTCCTAAATCCTTGAATTTCAGAGGGTTAAATATCATATCCAGCAACACATTAATCACCTCTGAAAGGTAGCATCAGATTTCTTGTTGACAAAGGTATTTCAGCTTACCAAGCAACTTGCTTTCAGTCAGAGCTCCACAGTCATGTGCTGCAATCCACCTTTCCCACCACATTACTTTTCAAAAGACAAGAACAAAACTTCAGGTAGCTGACCTCTAATATCAAAGGTGAACACTGTCTGCTTTAAACAGTACTTGATTCCCACAGTACAGACTAGTGCTCTACCAAAGCAAAAAAGATGAGTTGCTAAACTGCTGCAGTGTTATTCTCTAGTCATTTTAACACACAACAGATCTACAGGAGCAGTTAAAATTGGTTCATCTCTTGAGGTAGAAGCCACAAGTCATATTTAGTCCTGTCTGTAAACTATAACACACATGCCATCAGGCAAATATCGCTAATTTTTGTCATTTATAAATAAACTCACCAAATTTTCAGATGTTATTAATTGTAAATAACACAGCATGTTTTCATTGAATCATTTTGTTCCTGTTTGAGAAAGAAGCAAGTTAAACATTGGGAATAGTAGACTGTGGCTATCTGTACAGTTGTAATGGAAATAAAACATCTTATGCAAACTTTGTAGCAACATCCAAAGCACTGGTATATGAGGATTCTTCTTAACTTTTAAGTTACTTTGCAAAATACCAATTTTAACTGCATAATAAAGGGAAAAAAACCCCAGTCATTAGACCTTTAAGACTATATAGATACTTGAAATACTACCATTGCACTTTGGTAATTTTTTTAGGATTACATTTAAGGGAAAAGAAAGTTAAAAACAACAGAAACCCCCAAAGCTTCCACAAAAACAATTTACTTAATCTCAAGTTTTGTTAGGTGAAGACACTATGTAACTAAATCTATTGAAAATGCACGATGTTTAACATTCCAATAGAAGCAGAAATGTGACCCTTGCATTAGTAGGGGACATTTATTCCAGGTTAGCTGACAATCTCATAGCAAAGTCGTTGCTGTGACTGATAGGAGTTTTAAGGTATTTGAAGACAACCCAAACAACAAGTTACAAAACATATCAAGATTGGCACTTGATCTTTAGTTAGCCCCATTAGCTCAATTTTCTCCCCAGAGACTCACGTACACAGAATTCTAAGTTTTCATTTTATTACTGTAAAAAATAAAAGTCAATTTGCAGTTCCAGAGTAAACAAAGAAACCTTAGCTTCAAACTATTTAAAAACAAAGGTTCAAATTTTGATAAGATACATTTCACAGGGTTCAAGTCAGCACCTTAACCAAATGAATTTTTTTTGAACTAAGCATTTTTCACAAAGTTTTCATGTTAGTGACAAGGGGCTACATTCTCATCTGGATGTATGTGTAACATGACTCAAGGAGAACAAACTGGAAGGAGTGCAAGTCAGTTTCCAGAGTTCCCTGTTGAGGTCTACATGTTCAGAAGCAACCTTTAAGACTGAAGTTATTAACGATTGACCTTTTGCATATTCCGAAACAAAAGGCAAATACAATCAACTCACATTTGGCTCTGAAACATTATGATAATGTTTTATTTCAGCCACATATTTCCAAAAATGCTTACAACAGAACCGTGTAGGGTTTCCTTTTTTTGTCTTAATACATTTAAAGATGAATAGTCATCTTAACCTTCATGCAAAAACACATCTCTTGTTACACAAGAAGTTTTCTGGTGTTTTTTGGTTTTTTTTTTTGTACTCCGAGGATAGCAAGCAGAGGGTTGGATAAGTTTCGGCTACCCTTAAAAATGTAGGCCTGTTTGCTCTACTGCACCTTCAAAATAAGGAGGTAAAGTACAGGCACCATTAATTCCATAAGGGTTTGTTGCCTCTAGCATGTTTTCCAAAAACAACAAAATAGTCTTGAAGAGTTGTAACATGGGTTATTCCACAACTTTCACCTCTTCGGTTTACTTCCTGAACTCTGGAGTTACTTTCCTAGAAGCATACTTGCTCAGCTTCTTTTCTAGTGTATTGTTGACTATACATTTTAAATTAAACTGTTATGTAAATAATGTAACAAGCTTTTCCTTTGTACACAACATAATCTTTGTGCTGAGTATTCTTCAAAAGGATTTTATAAATAATACAATAAGCTTAGAACCAGTCTTCTGCCCTCTTGTCATTATACCATGTTGTTGCTTTCTCCAACTTTATCTACAAGCTGTAGAAAAAGAGATGAAAAGGTTTTAAGCTGTGACATTTATGTACAGTGAAGTTACTCTCGAATATTATTTGCTAATTGCACAGTTAGTATGCCATTGAAAATGAGTCAAATAGTACTCACCAAGGTCTCATGACTTAACTTTGTGAAAATTAAAAATCTTACAGTGCAACTGTGTTTCTGCATGACATGTTTTTCTCTTACAGACATTAACAGTGCAACATGAAGATGCAACAGAATGAAAAAGGAAATAGAACAATGCAGATAACACTGCTAGCTTAATGATTAAAACAAAACAGTATCAGCCACACATGCATTAGGAGACCAAGTAAGATATTTCAACTGACCATTACTGTGGATTCTCTTCTGAGCCTACGTAGGCTTTGAATAAAACATTAACAATTATCTTTTTAAAACAAGATTTAACCCCATTATGATCAAATTAAACATGACTACATAAGATCAATTGACAAATGTAACATTCAATTGATCATGAATTCTGAGCCAGAACTTGGCCTAAGATTGGAACAGATGATCTTGAACAGCAATTTTTAAAAAACAGACTATAGACATCTAAGTTAGACCACCTACTAATTTTCAGTAGTATCTGTTAAAACTGTTGCTTTCAAAACTAGGGTTAAAAATGCCTGTGTTAAAATACATACAGAAATTAGCACAGTAAAAGTAGTTGACTGAAACACTCTAGACTACCATCTTTCTGGCACCTGTTAATTGTCTTCAAATCCCTGGCTATTTGGTTAAGAAAATGGAAAACTGCATTTGAAAAAATACAAATCTTACTAAACAGCAAGATGTAGTCTGGTGCAGTGGACCTTAATAAATAAATCTAATGAATGACTATGCATCATGAGAGTTTCCAGATTCACCATACAAGCTGCAACTTAACATTGAACTGAACTGTTTGCTTTTACAGGCCACTTTTCATAAATACATCCAAATACTACACAAAGAACAGCATTCTCCTCATTGTACAGACAGGAGGAGAGGCACAGAACAGGGGCATGGTTCACCTATCTGGTCACCTAGGGCCAACAGTGCAGTAGGGGCAGCTTCTGCAAAGGTGTTTCTTTGTTCCTTTTACTGGGAATGAAGGTGACCTGTATCGTGTAAGAACTACACAGGAACACACTCAAAGTCACTGCTGTGAAGTTACATTTGCTTTATTTCTAATGCATTTCTACTACTGCTATAACAATGACATTAAAAAAAAAAAACACAAACCAAAAAACAGTACAAGCTTCAAATATTGCATCAAGTACCAAACACTTACCGAGCTTATACCAGGTAAATTCAAGAGATAGCCAAGAACTGGAACTCTTCTAATAAAGCCAACCACCACAGGAAAGAACCCCCTTCAGGTAAGATATCAGAACACTGTATTAGTTTTTACAATTAAACTATTTTCATATTGCTATAAAATAAATGAGGTATTTTTTAAACCAAAAATTAAGTAAAATCTTGTAGCTTTTAGCAGCAAATTAATCTTACCAAATATATCAACATACATTCAGCAGAGAAGGGAGAAAACCAGGGAAGAAACATGTTATTTTTAAATGGACTTAATTTTCTTCATAGCTGGCAACTCCGTCAGCTCTTCAAAAAATAACTAAAGAACCAATACCCAATTTAGTCAACAGAACTGATGCTCCCAAGTAATCTCCCAAGTAATTTCTCAAAGTTAGCATACATATTTTGAGATAATTTATTTTTACATTATAGGAAATACATTCTTGCAATACTCCATGTAAAACCAAATGAAGTTAATTCCGAGTAATCTCCTTTGAAGCCCTATATGGTACTCTTTACATTAACTGAAGAAAATTAAGCATGACAGTTGTGTATTCACTTATTTGACAAATTCATGCAAAGTCAGGGATCCGAATCATGAGCCGGGGGACGTTGCCTAGCATAACTGCTACAGTGTAGTCTCCCCAATGTCCACTTTGTCTCTGCAACAGAAAAGCAAATTTTCTACTGCGCTATCTCAGCTGTTTGTAGTCAGGTGCAGCAATTCAGCTGGTGGTGGCATTCCAAGTTCTCTCTTGTTGAGCTATGCGTTTCCTGCCTATGCAGTTAATAAGGATTAACTTGCAATGAAACCTCAGCCACAGTTAAACTGTGAAGTTTCACAAGTCATCATCCTCTTCACTACACTGGTAAGAACTAGTCGCTAGATAATATCTATACCAGCAAGTTTTACCTGGAGATTTTCTTTTTTTAAAGACCAGATCATTTCAGCAGTACAGTAAATTGTGAGGCAGGCATACAAACCACTCAGAATAGATTAAAACAACTTAAAACTGGTGTAGCTGAGAATAAGGCCCAATCAGTATGGGCAGGATAATATTGTTAGCTATAACTTTGGATGCCTGTAACGTAAACAAGGCTCCAAAAGCAGCTTAGAGTACAACAAGAGATACTGCCTCATGATAGCCCTTCTCCATTGAATGCGATCTGAGCATATGAAAGTTTGGCAAAAAAACTAAGCCTCTGATGGGAAACTTGTGGCAGTATGTTAAATAAAGACAAGAAGGGAAACACATTCTAGATCTAAACCAGAACAAAATAATAATTGTCTCTCTCAAGTCAGATGCATCTAAAAAAAAAAAAAAAACCCAAACTTTGCAATCCTGTAGTTTAAGTGTTCTTTGTCACCAGTACCTAACCATTGCTTTGTGGACAGCAGGGGCTCTGCAATTACTGCCATAGGTCATATGAAAGGTGACTGTGTAGAAGTAGTCTAGACATGCAAGACAACAAGCTATGAGTAAAGATTCTAGAGGGACCTGAACACCTAGTGGAACTGGCTTAGTGGTCTGAAAATCAAGAGACTGAAAAAAGTAAATACAGAAGTTTATATTTGTACTGTCTTAGTCCAAGTTGAATTAAAGTTACTAGAACTGCTAAATTGCTCTTGATAAATATAAAGCTTTTCCATAGTCCTGGTAATCCACATGACTACAATCATTACAACACACAAAAAAGCCCATCCTCTCACCACGCTGGCCTAACAAATCCACAGGTGCATAAGTTGATCTGGTATTCCCTGGGCCTAAGAAAATTATGTATTTCAGAGACCAATGATAACCAGCGAAGCTTTCTGTTGTGCAACCAAGTGGTGGGATCCTGAAGATTCGTATAAAATGATGCTTGAGGGAAGGCTCCATTTTTAACTTCTTCAGAAAGGAGCAAGTTGCCAAAAACACAATAATGGTCAAAATGAACAGACTAAAGCAAAACAAAAAGCTCTGTCTGAAGAAGTAACTAGCTACCATTGTAGCAAGGGATTTAGATTCTAAGAACTAGTAAGCACTAGAAAAGATGGTCTAGAGATGTTCTAAATTAGATCAGATAAGCATTCACATCTGGAATTATCTATCCCTCGATACTCTTCTGGCTAAGGGATAGTCCTAGTGACCTAGGGATACCTACTGACCTTCTGTAATCCCTTCAACATCATTTTACCCTACTAGCCCCTGGCTAGTACCAATAGATAATCCATAACCATACCTTCTTAGGCATAGTAATTTATAATTCTTTTGAGATCTTTTAAAAGGAGGAGTGTTTGGTTGGAAACACACTCTACTTGCTTTGTACTAGCTGATTAAACCGAAGCGTTACATGCAAGAAGTGACAATGTAATCAGTAAAAGACTGTGATTTTCAGAACACTTACAGTGATAGAGTTCTGAGGAACACACAGTAGAACAATAAGAAGCATATATTAAAAGCTAAGTTTTTTTCATAAAATACTTAAACATTTTATTTAAACTAAAGACAAGATTAACATATAATTGTACTGAATGGAAAAGAAGAGCCCATGGTTTGATTTTGATTAACAGGAATGGTATTATTTAGCCAGCAGATGAACACTTTGAAAATATTTTAGATTAATAAACATTAATGGAACAGTCTTCATGTGAAGAGAAGTCCAAGAACAACTAAAAGCCTCCCTTCTTACTTATTAGCATATTTCGTACTTTGTTCTATACTGAAGCAAGGAACTTCAACGATAGAAATAAAGATAAAATACAGACAGACAGGTGGTAACAAGTCAAAGTCTTTCACCATTACAATTGTACTTATGAAGAAGTTATATGACACATTATTAAAGCTATAATATGTATCAAGATTGCTGTTCAAAACATAAGAATTGTCATCTTTCCTTAACTCAGTCCAAATAACGCTAACCAAAACCAGCAGTTCTGACTATAGTAGGGCACAAATATAATGAAACATGACAGAAAACATCTGTTCACTGGGCTACCATAGTACTGAAATAGTAAGGTTACAGACCTATGATATTTGTAACCAAATAGTTTGTCCCATTTGTTAAAGGAAAGAACAAACTTCTCCCCAAAACCAACCCTAAATAACTAAATTGCCTTTTTATGAGGAAATATTTAAACTTTGCACTGCTAACAATTTGGACTCCCAGATATTTTGAAGCTTTACAATTCCTTGGTTAGACATAAACATTACCAAAGTCAGTTTGGTACATGCCTCACAAACACTGGAAAACTTGAGTCTTCGAAAAATATTTACCATCCTTCCACCTCTTGCCAATGTGAATCAACAACTTTATATAAAATCTATCAAAAGTGAGCAGTTAAAGGATGCTGCTTTGTCAGCTATAATGCAGCAACATTAAATTAATACATTTACTCCTCAATACACCAATACAGAAACAAGTCTTACCTGAATAATAGGAAGAACCCATAAATTTCAAGGATCATTCCTATTGAAGGCCAACCAATGAGAACTATGAGCACACCACCCAGGAAAAAGCCCGTTGCTTTCATTTTGTGTTTTTGAAAGAAGAATCTAAATGTTCTTTCTAAACCGATAACAAAAGACAAGCCAGCCACGAATAAAACCTACAAAAGACAAAAACCAAGCAAGGAAAGAAAATAGCTAATTATATTCCTAAGTTTAGGACGTAAACATACATATATTCTACAAAATTAGAGTGCACTTCTTGCGCAACTTCTTTTAATACCAAAAGATAGATGTCGAGAAGGACTTTCCTAGTGAATTTATTTTATAAAGTCCATCTCAAAGCATTTCTAGCTAGCACTCAAACACTCTTCTCTCAGCTGCTTAAAAAGTAAAGAGTCTACCTTTGTGGACTCATGACAAACACAATCATGTCAAAAGACTTGGTGACAACAGTTATCTGTCCTGTAACACCAGTTCAATTGTTGCCCACAAGCAGTTAGTACCACTAACAGTAAAGGTTCTGAAAAACTGAGAACAGTCATGTTAAAAAAGCACCTGTTTTGTATCATGGACATCTTTAATAGCTTGTACTGATCTACTGAACAGTGCAAAGCCAAAAAAAGAAAATTGATGAAGAGCATTATCAGTTATCTTCCCTTTTTTTTTTGTTTTGGTTTATTTTTTACTGTGTACAGTCTTTATACCATTTACTAGTTCCAGGAAAGACTGAACCCTATCACGCTAGTCCCAACTAGTTAGAACTACTTTTAGTGTCCTTTAGCAACAGGACTTGTAATTATTTTAGCTTGTAAGGATACATCCAGGCAACATTTTTGCTGAAAAGGGAATTTTCACTCCAGATGATAGATGACATTTAAGTTTTCTATGTTATTTAATACACCACTTTCTTACCACCTTTTCCCCTTTCTCATATAACTTTTATTTTGTTAAAACTTTCTGTAAGGATACAGTACCTTTTCTTCCATTATCTTTGGTTACCACATAGCCTGTCATTGTCTCTTCCTACCTATGTTTTCATCCTTTGCCCTAAACAGGATCTCATATTTCTTCATTACGTTAAGAAAAAAAACAAGCATTATTTTCCTTTTTCACTCTTCCACTATACACTTTATTGATCATTGTCCTGGGTTAAGCAGAGACAGAGTTAACTTTCTTCATAATAGCTAGCAAGAGGCTGTGTTTTGGATTTGTGCTCAGAAGAAAGCTGATAAGAAGTGATGCTTACAGTTATTGTCAGGATACTCAAGGTCAGATACTTTCAGCCTCTCTGCTCCCTGCAGACGGAGGGGGGGAGGGGAACTGAAACTCAGAGTAGCCAGTAATCTATTCCATAACATACACGTCCTGCCCAGTATATAGGTGAGGACCCTGTGAAAGACCATCCCTTTTTGTTCCAGATCTCTTTGGTCTCCAGATCTCTCTTGGCTCTGGATTGTCTCGTTCCAGGTGGCCACTCTCCCAAGGCCTTCCCCCCACCCTGGTCAGCTCTCGGTCTGGGACACTCAGGCTGTTATCTCCATTCCGTGAGTTTCGAGACTCTCCCACTCCAGGATCGTTAGCCAGGGCCAGGTGGTCGCTCTCTCCCTGCCACTCCCCCCCCCCCCCCCCCGAAGCTCCCCGGCTGGGGCGGTCAGGATT